TCAGTATGCACTGTAACAAATTTTCTGCTGTTTGCATTTGACTTATTACATGAGACTCATCAACAATATTTAAGCAAGTGACTCTACCAGGAAGTTTTTCAAAAGAATGATTAAATAAATTCTCACTTATAATAGATCCTTCAAACCATTTTTTCAAACCAATCGTACAGCAATGGTTTTAAAACACAAAAATCATCTGATTTTCTGTGATTTTATTAAAACTTTTTACATCACTTGCGAAAATTTACAAAAAATAAAAAAAAGTCACAAATGCTTTCACATATGTCAAACAAAGTACTATAACCACCCTAGAACAGATTTAATTTATATATAGGGTTCTAAATATAAAAACATCTATAGTATTACGCAAAAATGAGTGACCACAAAGTCAATTTAAAAAAAACCTCAACTAATCAAAAAGAATTCAATACACAAGATATATGCTCTTTGATTGTTTGATCATAACATGTCCATAATTAATATGTATTAGTAACATCAACATGTGAATCTAAACTTTGCTTCAGAAATTGCCTCAAACTACCTGATTTACTTATTAGTTTCTGTAGCCTAATTAAATTTCATTTTTTAAAGCCTCCAACAATAGCTTACCATTTATCTTGTCACATAGAGAAGTGACATCATCTGCACAGGTACATGGACCTCCATGAGTTTTCACTTTTGTTTACAGTGCTGAGTTGCTGGTAATCTTTTTAACCTCCTTTTGTATGCCGTTTATCTTGGTTTATAGCCATTTGCCATTTGATCTGGAGTTGCACATGGTTTTCATAACCTAGCTGTTAATTTTAAAGCGTCTGTTGCAAAAAATTAACACAGACCGTTACTGTAACTAACCAGAATAAATCTGACATTGTTACATGTCACTATGAGCCTTTTTAAATCAAAGTATTAGCATCTTCTGTTGCTACTGGATTGAATCCTAAATGAAATGTCATTCCATTATCAAGAGTCAGGATGGCCCACAATTTTGTTGTGATCTCTGGAAGTGCCATCAGCATGAACAGTCATGTTCTTACACTTACAGGATGCCTTCAACAACCTGCACCTGATTTATAACACCAGCCTCCGTTCATATATTTATGTTTGAAGACTTGGCAGCTGGTCAAACGTTTTTCGAAACAGGTTAGCCGCAATAATGTTTATGCATTTGGGAACATTATGTGCAGATACCCCTATATCCGCCATTAAACTAATCACTGTTTGCCTTAAGGCGGGTGAATGACAGCTGATTTTTCACAGTCGCGCGATAATGATATATTTGCATTTAATATTGCCTCTGCTTTGAGCTGGTAAAATGTTAGTTGTCTTTTAATTCTGACACTTTCTGATCCATTTCCAACTTGTGTGCTTCTTCCACCAATACATTCATAGTTATAATATTTATACAATGAGAAGCTTAGTTCTGAGTTTGATTTCAGATATTGGATTATCAGCTGACAGTTTGTCTAATAGGGGTGGAGTAACAGTTATACAAAGGGTCCTTTATTCCAATAATAAAAAAACAAAATTGTACCAACTTTAATCTATGCTGGTCTAACAGAGCTAAAAAATCTGTTTTCATAATTTCTAGCTCTTGAACTCTTTTAACTAAATGAAAGTGCATTGTCTAAGTTTCAAAATGTTTTAAAGTTAAGTTCATCTAGTTCATAAGACAATGGTATATTCTTTTCTAAGAAGTTTTTAAAACCCACCGGGTGTCTTCGTTTAAAATTTAGAACAGTTCCTGTAGAGATCCAGCTTGATCTTTATTAATTCCAAAAGATGACAGAATAGGACTTATCTTTCTTCATTGGATAATTCTATACCTTTTATTCACATGATTTTGAACTTTAAAACTGGTACATTTCTTTATTTTCGTAAACCAAGTTTCGAGCTGAAAATATATGTTCAATCTTGATTACATTCCTAAAAGTAAAACATAAGTTAAGCACATTGCGTTTTGACCAATAACTATTTCATACATTATTTTTCTCAAACAAGTACATTTTAAAAGACCTATAATTCACGTTTTCAAGAACTGGCCGAGAGTTTATTCTCGCACTCGGCCTTTTTTAACCATGCTCAGAAATCATACACAATTTTCGTGTTTTAATAGAAAAAGGACCACCATTCTGAAAATGCTAATTACGAATTTATAGGGTGGCGAAATCACATTAATTTTCTTCGATTTTTTAATATTTTAAACATTTAGTGGGATACTAAACAAAAGAAATGCATAAAAGACCCAATGTCGTTCCAAGATCGCTATCTTGGCGATAAATTGGCCAAGGTCCCGCCATGCTTATGCCAGGATACGGCCAAGATTTGTACGTGCTTGCATCCCTTTGTTTTGAATAGCTTCCCTTGATACCTTGATATCTATGTCCACATTCCTTTCTATTGTTTTCAAGCCAGCATCCCACCAGGTCTTTACTTGCCATTCTTTGCTCGCCAACAGAGCCTTTGTTGTATCAAGCCAGCGACACTAAGACCTCGTCTTTATCATCGCTTAATCGACGTTTGGATTCTTTTGAAAATCCTTTAAACCACTTAATCAACAGGTAACATCGTCCATTTTTATAGATAACAGATTATCCGACAACCGGTGAGCTTGTCGACATCAACAGGTATTGCACCAATTATTGACTTTTTTTTCAACAGTGAGGAGTATAATGTACATAAATTCATATTGCGGTGTAGAAAACACTTTCTGTCATAATATAAGAGGAAGTCTATTCACATAGTTAGGCATTACAGTAACAGAACTTTTCAACGAAAGAACCATCTAAAACATAATTATTTAAAACAATCACCTAGCCTATTTGGAGAGCTACCCGAAAAAGGGTTAGTAATGATTTAGCTGACTGTCAGAGGCAGGCCCAGGAATTATGATTATGAGTATGATAGGCCTATTGATAAAAGTAGTAATCAGAGGCATATTCTCAATGAGTTTGACAGTGTAAATTATGCTTGGTGACCAGTTACTGTGACTGGTGTTGATGAATGTTATTCAGAAGTTAGAAACGAAGCTCACCATCAACAGACTGGCGCTTAGCAACACAAGTATGATAATACTAGCAATTATGATTATACAGATTTAAATGATATTCTGTCGGATGTAGATTGTGAGACAGATGCAGACTCATCGCCAGAAGACAACTATGAAAATAATTTACAAGAGGAAGTCAGAAAGTGGGCTATTGATTTTCAAATAAAAAATGATGCACTTAGTGCCTTACTGTGCTTATTGTGCACCTACCACCCTTCATTACCAAAGGATTCAAGAACTTTGAGGAAAACTCCTAGAAAAATAAATGTTAAAGCTATTACAGGGGGTGCATACTACCATTTTGGAATTGAAAATTGCTTAACAAAATCGAAACATTTATTTAAATTTCTACATTCGCATCCAAATGAGACTCCAGTTATCCATTTGCAAATTAATTTTGATGGTTTGCCTTTATTTAAATCCTCATGCAGTCAATTTTGGCCAATTCTTGGAAGAATTTGTAAACCATTTGAATCTGATCCATTCCTTATTGGTTTGTATTATGGAGATAGCAAACCAGTTAACATTGAAGAATATTTAACGGATTTTGTGAATGAAATGCATGTTGTACTCGAGAAAGGTGCCACTTCACTCAGATTTGAAGACAACGAAGATTCTATTTTTCCAATTAGACTGTGTATATCTTGTTTTATATGTGATGCTCCAGCGCGGTCTTTTGTTAAGAAAACAAAAGGGCATTCAGGTTACTGGGGCTGTGATAAATGTCAAAAATGGGAGTGGGCTGAAAAAGTTATCTTTCCTGAAATAAATGCAACATTACGTTCAGATGAAGCTTTCGATTTAATCCATGAAATTGATGATTTTCATATTCAATTATCTCCCTTGACTAGTTTGTCAGTTGGCATGGTCACTCAGTTTCCTTTAGATTACATGCATTTAGTGTGCTTAGGGGTGACAAGAAGAATTCTTTTACTCTGGCTTAAGAGTCCAGTTTCAAAAGGCCTTAGAATAGGATCAGGCTGTCTACTACTCTTCAAAGAATATATTCCACGTGAATTCTCTAGAAAATGTAGCTTTATCATGCAGAGAACAGCAGAGTTTAGGCAGTTTTTGTTATACAGTGTCTATATTTCCTTTCAATGCAACTATACCAAAGTACATTATAGTCATTACCTTTTATTCTTTGTTGGTATTTATTGCCTTACTAGTCCTACTTTCTGTTACAGTCATGTTGATTATGCACATGAACTGTTGTGTATGTTTGTAGAAGAAGCTAAAGAACTTTATGGTAAAGAATTTCTGGTTTATAATGTGCATGGGCTCACACATTTGGCAGCAGATGTTAAGAATTTTGGACCACTAGATTCTTTCAGTGCTTTTCCATTCGAAAATTTCGTAAACCACAAACAGACACCACTAGAACAAGTTGTCAAGAGGTTATCGGAAAGAGCAGTCTCCGATAAAGGATTATTTTCATCTCAAGATTTTGTAACTGACAAGCCTTATCCTTTTCCAAAAAAAAAAACATTGCCAAATGGAGTTAGATGTGATCAATGGCCCAAGACAATTTGCTCAAATTAATTTTAAAGGTATCTTTTTTCCCATAGAAAATGGAGACAACTGTGTTAAAATTGAAGACACTTTCTTTTTGCTTAGAAACATTCTCATTATGGATTTGTCTTCTGAACCAGTACTTGTTGTTGAGCGATTTCTAACATGTTATGATTTTTTTCAATATACATTATTGTCCTCAAAATTGAGCATTTTTGAGGTGTCAAATCTTTCTGGTAAATTAGAGACATTCAATGTATCAAAAATTGAACAGAAATGTGTTCTCTTACCATACAAAAAGAGATGTGCTGCTTCCTCTGAATCACAAAGAACAAAAATATTAGAATTTGTTTTATCTAATCCATTTAAGTCTTTAACTTTAATTTTTATGTAAATACTGTGTATTAAAGAATGTACCACCTTCTGGAAACTGTTGAGGATAATGTAAGGATGGTGGTGCCAGATGTGTGGCTGCTGGCTGGCAAAAATCAATGTTACTGGCCAAGCACACCAACTGCTGGAGATGCATGGGTGCGCAATGCAAAGGAGCCATTTAAAATTTTTAACGTAAGTAATTGTTAGCAATGGTAAGAATTAAGTATATGTTACTTTTAATATTTAAAAATATAATATAATAAAACATTAAAAAACAATATAATGTAATTGTAATGTGATAAAAATGTCTAAATGTTAGTTTCCTATGAAAAAATAAAATCACTCGAGAGAAAGGCTCTAGATAAGAGTGATGTTGAGAGCTCAGGATCAGAGCCACATCGCAGTCACGGCTAACAATTAGATGGTATATATTACAATCTCTAACTCAGATCTTGAGCTTAATATATAGCCTTATTTAAGTTTGTTATGTTTGTATAAATAATGAAAATAAAAATTTTGCATTAGGAGTCCCAATGATTATTCTGAATCATCAGAATCATCACCTGCCAGGAAGAAGCAGTGCAGAGTCGTGGTGAGGCGGAGGTCAAGGTCACCTATACCTTCCATAAAATATTTGCCACAACCACCTGAAGCTTCCAAAGCTGTTTCAAAACCACCTGCATCATATGCACAGTTTTCAGCGTCCCCGAGTTTTTCTGGCTGTAAGTGTATTGTATTTTTTAAAATAAATCATTACTTTGTTAGCATTATTGCTTTTGTTTGTAAAAAAATTAGTAAAGATTTGACATAAATTATTTATTTTCTAGTCACCCAGCAAAATACAGATCAGCTGAATGCCGTTTTTTAAAAAGATTCTGGAAAACAACGCAGAGCTGCTTGAAGACATCCGGCGCCTGCATAGAAAAGTCGATAGGCTTGAGGCAAAATTAAATGGTATGGGAGAGGATATCCCAGAAACTATCCAGAGCTTGCCAGAAGGGTACACCTTTCCTTTAGAGACAGTGGAGCAAATGGTCAGCCTGGATAGTTGTCTTAATGACACTGCAGTACAGAAGAGGATGGTAAGCAATGTTATAAATACACTCTAGTTTGTAATTTAACAGTAATTTTGTTATATTTCTTTCAATACTTTGTTGAACAAAAGTATTCAGTTAATACAGAGTCTTTACCTCACCAACTATGGAGGTAAAAATGCTCGGCATGGTCTCTTCAGGGTTGTAAAAGAATTAATATGTCCTCAGTTGTCGACTCTTTACTCATTTGAAGGCAAAAAAGGAAAACTGAAATTTAATGACCTCCGGAACCTCAAGATGACAATTTTTGGTAAAAATGAAAATGGCTTCTTTGCTTCCAATAACTTAAAATTATGTAGGCCTATTTGTATATATCTAAAGCTGTCTGCCTATACAGAAAGACAAAGATGAAATGACAGATATATGGACAGAAGAATTGACAAGGCAAGATGCTGATAAGTTTGACTTTTTTTTTTCAGATCCCATACCCCCTAAGATCTTTTAAAAATTCTACTATAAAAGAACTGGAAAAGGGGACAAGTGAATGGCATGTAAATATGTGAAAATGCTGAAATTTTTTAACAAATAATTTATACATTTAAATAACTGGGGTAAAAGTAAGTTTTTGTTTGAATGTTATTTTTACTTACCATAGTACATGACAGCTTCTGTATTCTTGTACAGTAAATTAAGTTTTTACATTCATTTAATTTCAACTGTACTTAACATCTGTTATACAAAATTTTCATAATGTATTTATTTTGTATAAAATTAAGTCAACATGAATATGTAAATAGTAGTGTAGTAGCTTTCATTTTCTATCAGTACTTTATAATATAGTTATAGTTTTCTTACATATTTTAATAGATGAACAGTTTTTTGTGAATGTATTTGCTGCTTAATTTCAAAATGTGAAAGAAACTTTAATCAAAATTTATGGAGCTTTTTTTATGTAAAAAATCATAGGATGAGCCCCAGATGTAGCCGGGATATAGCCATTATTGTGCCAACATTGCGCCAACATCATGCCGAGTTTCACTACCAATGTCATACATTATATTTTAAAATGTACTTGTTTGAGAAAAATAAAGGCCTATAATTCACACTAAAGACTATTCAATTGTGCACAATTTAAATGTAAAGAAATGCGTTGCATGGTCAAAAAAGGTTCGGGAGTTTGGGAGGGGGGTCAAAATCTGTTGCGCGACTGCCGTTGAAAAACACTCTCGTTGGTCATTGAAAAGTAAATTTTAAGCTCTTCAATTCTGCGTAATTTTTATGGTTGTTGATATTACACAAACGTATTACTACTCCACAAGCCCCTTTTTTATTCTAGAAACAATGACCTGAATAGATACTACATTTGGGCGACGCCTGCGAAAAAAGCGTTTTTTACGGCAGTTTGACACACAAGTTGACGCTGATCACTAAGAACATACGGATCTTCAATGCATAAATAGTTCAAGTTTTTTAATGTATTGTTCTTGCTCGGTCGGTGCGAGGCTCATACGCTGAACACAACTAGTCTAGCGCTTTTATATACCGGGAATATACACCAGTTAAGGCCGGCGGGCATCCACATGGCAGCGGATGTAAACATGGACAAGTCATAATTGGTTTCAGTAAAGGCGTTGGTTGGGTGTTAGTGGAAGATACTTCCTGATTTGTGTGCTAGCCACCCTGAGGGTTGGTCCGTCTGCTTGCACCGAGAAGAATCTGTCACGGCAGGATGTTAGGCCTGGTACCACTACCAGGTCTGGGTGGAAAGGCAGCTCCAGGGGCTGTACAAGCACATCACACACCATCCTGGGGTCTCCTCCAGTTGCCAGACCAGTTGACACACTCTTGGCGGGCACCCGAGTCCGCTCAATGGGGCTATGGGCCCTGGCTGCCATGTCTTCGGTGCCACCCCAGGAGACTTGATCAGGTGGGCCAATGTGGTCAGATCCCGGAGAACGAGAACATTCAAACCCCAGCAAGCAGGTAAGGTTTTTGGTAAGTCGTGTTTGCCTGCGTTCGGCCAGTTTTGTAGGCGGCATTTTCGATTCAGCAACGTTCTGAATCAGGCTTGTACATGCCTTATATCATTGGTGTTAATGGAAGCAAAGTTTCTGATTGATAAAGTATGTGGGAGTAGATTTATCCAATACACCTAGCAACTATAATAAGTATGAGAAGGCTATAAGCTTAGCATATCTGAGTTATTAGCCTAGGCCTACCGCTAGTAAATATAGATATGGATATATGAATATGTCATAATTTAATTCATATATCTATATTTACTAGCGGTAGGCCTAGGCTAATAACTCAGATATGCTAAGCTTATAGCCTTCTTAGTAAAAAAAAGTTTGCTAATTGTTACAGTTGTCATGTTTGGCAGATGTAGAGTGTTATTATAGTTTAGTAGTAGGCTTATTATATTATAGCTTATTTATATAGCAGGCATATTAGTAGTATGGCAGTTAACATCTGTTTCGCCTACAAAGTCAGATTAGCCTAAATAATAGATTAACATTATCTTTTTATTAAATTTTTAGGTGTTCTGGATACAGACTGCATACAGAAAGTCCTGACTTAACAACCTTGTTCAACAGAGGTCAGATTTGACAGAAATTTGCCTCCACATGTTGGATGAAAAGTGGTTCATATTGAACAGATTTATTTTTATCAGTTCTGAAATTAAAACAATTAAAACTGTTGTGTGTGTGTGTGTTTTTCTTTAGCACTATAGGTGTTCTTGTGTATGCAAAAATTAATAATCACTACCAACCCAATTAATTTCCTGTAAAAAAAAATGATACTGAAGATTTCACCTTGTATATAAGGAAACACATGGTTTTGGACTAGGAAAAATTTTAACAAATGATATGACGAAATGAGTTCAGTTGCATTATTTAATGCATAGTTTGCCAATAAGAAAAACAAAACTGTGGGGGGGGGGGGGGGGGGTCCTAGGACATGTAGTAAGTTATATTTTTAAGCCCCTAATTAGTACTGGGGGGGGGGGGGGGTAATGCCCTGTTCCCAAAAACTTGACAGATTTGATGGATGACCCTGTAGTCTTGGTCAAAACTTTCCGATCTGGATTGATTAGGCCAATAGTAAAATAATGTTATCAATTTACAAGTCTAGAAAAAATATGCTTTCTGGCAACAGCCGTTTGGAACCAGCTTTTCAGGTCTATTATTACCTGGACAAATTTTTATTTTTCCTTGAACACATTATTGAAACGGATACTATCCAGATCCCTACACGGCCAACGCCAACACGCACAGCCACAAAGGACAGAAAGTGGAGAGGTATGTCTGACAAAATAGAAGCACATCAAACAAGTTCAACATAACACAGACACTCCGTCAGTGTCGGCGTGTAAGTTAATCGTGTGATCTTAATTTCGTGGAAGATTGTTGGAGCAGAAGGCAGTAGCGTCTCGAAGGGTGGGGGGGGGGGGACATATGTCCCCGGGCGCCGACCTTAGGGGAGCCAAAATGGGTTGGAAAAATATATTGAAAGGTTGAGGGGGGGTGCAAATCGAAAAGTTTGTCCCCGGGCGCCGGGAAGGGTCGCTACGCCTCTGGCAGAAGGCATCATTCGGAAACATTTACCCGCCGACTAATCACACGCCGACTCAATCAACAACATACAGTGGACGCTATCCACACCATCAACACCCACGGAAGGAAAACATCTGGGAATTCCGACTCTCTATTGATTTTCATGGCCACTATTTCCAACACTACAATATAGCGATCATTTATACAGCAGTTCTGACTACTTTCAACAACAAACATACACAACAATGCAACACATACTGAAAACTCAATATTACTAAAATATTGTTTACAACAAGCTAGCAAAAATATCCCTCGGACGCTTTTATTCAAGTGGCAAAGTTTTTGTTGTGGGCTCAACAACATCACAGGCTGTAGAACACCCACCTACCAGTATCGTCTGATACTAAGTATATACATTCCAGAGCCACTAAAAAATAGTGCATTTGTCCCACAGTTTAGCTCATTTATTGCGTTTAATATATATTCACTTCCATGCCCTCAATGAAAAGGGAAACCAATTTACGAGATAGTTAATGGGTCACACTCACTTGGCGGGAACAGTCAACTATAATGGCAGCGAAAGGGTTAACAATATAGCGGCAAAAATGTATGGCCAGTATGGGGATCGAACCCACGACATTCGCGTTATTAGCACGACGCTCTAACCAACTGAGCTAACCGGCCCATGCTCCGCATTGCTAAACATAAAGTGATTATCTCATCACCTGTCCGCGCGGTAGAATCCTACCAACATCAACAATAGTATCAGAATTTTTTCCCTTTGCTATAGTTATTTTTGTCGCTTTTATAATTTAGATCTAATGCTAATCATGCGGTTTCAGTTTTGATCTAGGCGTCTGTTATACAGTTTTTGGCCATAAAATAAAGTATATTGGCTTTAAATATAAGGTAGATAACTGGGTAATTAATAGTTTTGGTTATTATTTTCTGTTAACTCCCTTTACACGAAGAGGTTTGCCAAGAGCGGGTTGAAAGAAATATGGATGTGTTGACTAGAAATTATTTGGTCTGTTGTGGCTTTGTCGCTAATACGTCATTTGTTTTATGAATGTAAAATCCCTAAATGTTACAAAAGTTGAGCTTACTATGATATAATCAGCGACATAAATTCCTGTTTTAGTCCCGTCTCCCCCAAATATTTGATGAGAAAAACTAGTGAGAGGGTGCTGAATAAAACATTTTTCATCTTGATTGCTACGCTAAATCCAATCAAGCTTTGTAATGCATTGACTCAAAGAGTCACAGAAAAAACTCAAGATGGCCTACCCCATGACACTGACTCCTTAATTACAGTGAGTAATACTGACCAAGTCAAACATGACTCTCAACAGGGTGTAGCTACCAATTTATTTGGCCATACAGAACACACCCTTTCAAAGTCTAAGCATTCATTTCATCAAGAAATTCTTAACCTGATTACGCCTTTAAAGACACGGGAAAAAACTAGAACCTAGTGCCCTAGGTGTTCTAGAACAGAGTTGGTTAGCAAACACCCACCCCCACCCCAAGGTGCTATTCACTTCAGGGGGTGGTAGTGGGCGAAGTAAAACCTTTTTTAATTGGCTGCTATTCTTAGACCTATCGGTAGAGCATTGCCCATTTCATACCGAGCGTTGGCCCCTGGGAAGTGGGTCAAAGGTTGCAGCACCCCCACGATCGGCGCCGAGATTGTGAGATTTTGGCTAATTCTGTAACTTTGTGTAACAAATTTACAGCTCGAATGTCGAGTGAAAAAAGGTTCTCGATTCGCGTGGTCAATGGAGTGAAGTGAAAATTGAAAAGGCGGTTTAATAATTACAACGTAACATTGAGTTGGTTGTAGGGATAGTGTGGTCAGCGCTAGTCTGGGTGGACTAAGGTATGTCTCACAGTATCGAGCCCGGGATTCGAACTTGAAAATTATAGTTCAGCAATCGTGCGGTCTACTATCTGACCACGTCCCTTAAAACCTAAGCGGTACGGCTGGTACGACTGGTACGACTGGTATCAAATATATAAAGTTAAATCCTTGGAACAAAATAAATACATCGGTGACAGATGCAAACCTGATTCATTTAATTATTCTAGTATTTAATTTTATATTTTAAATTTAATTTTA